TCGTGAGAGATTTTCATGTACGTTGGAATTCAACGTATCTGATGCTCACTCGTTTACTGGCAGTTCAACAGATAATAAATGACATAACATATACACCACAACCACGTACTGGTTTAACAGCTAAACAAATTAAGAAACTAAAATCATTGGCTAATAATCATCTAGATTGGGAATTATTACAATCACTAGCCACTGTTCTTACTCCATTTTATTTGGCTACTCGTTGCTTATCCGGTCGTCAATATCCAACATTAGCTTTATCATATTGGGTTACACAAAACTTACATCTATTTTTATCAACGGAGATACCTGATGCCCCATTGGAAAATGCATTCCTACATTTATTGTTAAATAAATTTAGATTTTATTTTGAATCAAAAGTGACATTTGAACAAAAACGTGGTAAACTGGTAAGTAGAATAAGGAAAATCTTCGTGAGTTTGCTAAAGCAGCTCTACGCAGATAGACTGCAAAGCACATGGGACGGATACTAATAAAAGTTCCAGACATCTTAGCTCCACAGTGTTAGACAATAGAGAAGGATAGAGATGACTAAACTTCAACCTTGGGTACTTCCATTTACGTCCGCCCACCATTACATGACATAACAGCCGAAAAAATTTCAAGGCTCTTCTCGTGTAAAGCATAAAAAATACATAGAATCCCATATTTATTCACTAAAAAAGTCATATCCTACATGCCTTTTCAGGGATGTCAAGTTTCGGCCTTCTCTCTAAGAAAGTAACTTTGACCTTGGTTTTCTATGCCACTAAAGAACTTACATCATCGTTGGATATACCGCACGAAAGAGCAACTCGAGTAGTACATATACTAATATCAGAAACTTGTCCTACTACTTTTACCATGGCAGGCCAGCTATCACAAAATGGCCGAAAATGACACAACGGCACTCAATATTTCATCTTTTCTGAAGGCAAAAAAGGACAAAAAGTTCTTGCAAAATAGATAAAAACGAAGTTAAAGGGCTGATTAATCCAATGAAAAAAGAATAAGATCTATATCTATCTTCCTCTTTGAGTGTGAAACCCATCGTTGAAGACCCCTTTTCAAAAACAGTCGACTTTCAGGTCCCACAGCACAAGAACTTTTTTGTTCTTCTCCCACTTGTAGTACTCGTCGAGCTCTACAAAACAGCATCAAAGATATTTTTGGCCGGCCTCCTTTTCATCCTGTTTTCCCGATCACAAAAGTCAAAAATATCGCTTCCTGTTTTCATGTTTTCATCTGATTTTCACTCTGTTCTTAAAATCCGATCGAACCGAAATAGTAGGTAATTCACAATTCATCTTATTTTTAATTAAGGTGATATATGTTCCACGAACGCGGCTATAAGTTTCTCGTTACACTAGTCTAAGCGATACTTTACTCACATCGAATATGGACAAAACTCTCATTGGACAAAAGTAGACCAATAAAATTTTTAGAAAGTAGCGTTCCATAAAAAGGCTTTCTGTACACCTGTTTTTAAGCAATTTTGCATTACTTTAGTTAAAAATAAGATGAATTGCGAATTAATAACTATTTCGCTTCGATTGGGTTTTAAGAACAGAGTGAAAATCAGGTGAAAACAGTAATCGATATTTTTGACTTTTATGATCGAGAAAAGAGGGTGAAAAGGAAGCGGGCTAAAAATATCTTTGATGCTATTTTGTAGAGCTCGATGAGTACTACAAATGAGAGAAAATCAAAAAAGTTCTACCATATAGTTCTTGTGCTGTGACACCTGAAAGGTGACTGTTTTTAGAAAGTGGTCTTCAGAGATGGGCTTCGTGCAAAAAGAGGAGAATCGACCGAAAAAAAAAGAGGAAACCGACCTTGTTCTTTTTTCATTGGATTAATCAGCTCTTTAGCTTCGATTTTAGCTATAGTGCTAGAACTTTTTGTTCTTTTTTGCCTTCAGAAGAGATGAAATATTGAGTGCCATATTTTCATTTTCGATCATTTTGTGATGGCTAGCCTAGCCTTGTAAAAGTACTAGGACAAGTTTTGAGTATCAGTACTTATACTATTCGAGCTGCGCATTCATATGGTATATTAAACGTCGATATTAACTATACGGATGTAGAGAAAAACAAGATCAAAGAAGAGAGGGCGAAACTTGACAGCCCTGAAAAGGCATGTAGGATATGACTTTTTTAGCAAACAAATATGGGATTCTATGTAACTTTTTATGCTCTACACGAGAAGAGTCTTGAAATTTTTTTGGCTGTTATGTCATGTATAAACTGGGCGGACCTAAATGGAAGTACCCCCTTACATTTCTCTCGCCGGTGGTAGAGGTTTGCCTGGATAAGCAGATTAAGATTCCTGATCATCGTCTAAATCAAAAAAAGAGGTTTTTCTTTCTTTCTAACACTCCCGTCTCATTTTTAACGAAAGTCTACTTCTTTTTCTTCATAGATCGCAGCATATTTGGATCCATTCACACTAGACGAATTATCTGTTGAAGAAATCGACGAAGCTGAATCGTTGATAACAAATGAAGCTAAAATATGTGGTGCGGCAAGACAACAGCCAACTACAACCACACCACCGTCACAACTGCCACAACAACAATCATCATCCTCGTCTGTCACAATCACAAAGCGTTCTCGAGTTTCAACAATAAATCAATTCAAAAGCTCGTGTCATCGCACACCAGCAGCCACACCAAAATCAGCACAAACGCAAAAACCATTATCAATAAAAGAAGAATTTAGTTTATATATTTCGACAAACAAGTCGTCAAAAGATTTTGAAACTTACTGGAATGAACAACAAAATTTGTTGCCAATTTTATCTTCGTTTGTACGTCGCTATAGCGTCATTCCCGCGACGTCAGTCGCCTCGGAGTCGGCATTTTCTGTGGCTGGTTATGTTCACCGCAAGCAACGTTCTTCTCTTTCACCGACAACACTTCGATATTTAATGTTGTTAAAAAAATAAAAATGATTTATTTTAATGACAAATAAACAGAAACCTGTGTGTTTTTTTTTCTGTTTGTGTGTATTTCATTATATATTTTCTATCAACTGAAAAATAGGAATTTTTTTCTGAAAATAAAACTGTGTGTACCTGTCTGAAAGAAATCATGTATTGGTGACTAATGAATGAGGATGTTAACGACGAGATTACCGATATAGAGTACAGTTCTCGAAATTGTTTAAAGGTTGAGTTAGAACTAACAAGTGCAAGGAATCGAAAAAACGGCTCTTCAAATAATGGTTTTTTCCTGGATACTTACGCAATTAAAATTTTTCTGAAAACACAGCTTTATTGTCTAAATATAAATGATTTATTTATATTTATCCGTTATTATAAATGAACAATAAAACTAAATTAACACCCCTAATTTAGATCTACTAACATCTGTACATAAACTAGCTGCATGAATGATTGCCGATAACTTCTCTGCGACTATTATCGTTTTCAATGAATAAGACAGTCCGATATATTGCTTATAAATTTCTAAAGAACGGTGCTAGCGAGCTGCGGTTTGCAGTTTTTGAAACTAGACAGTTGGGACAATAATCCTACGAAAAAGTTCGGCCTATCGAAAAGGTCTACCATAGTTTACCTTTCGAAACAAAATGTCCGAGCCTGCCGTTCCAAAAATCTACAAAGCAAAATACTGGTCTAAACACATGCAGATATATAGCAGGTGTCGCTCTACAACCTGCCGCAAGTCTCCATCTACCGTGGTTTGGGCACTACTAACAATCTTCAGGGACCTATCTATCAGCTAAACCTGAAGCCTGGAAACCTCAAAAGTACATGGTACGTAGGTTTTCGGGCTCGCTGAATCTCGTGGCAATGCTTGTTCTTTTGTCCGGATTAAAGAAACTTCGAGAAGATGAATTCTTCGAAAAATTCGATTTTTCCACTGTGACTAGAGTAAAATAACAACCTTCTAGCACCTTCATTTCTCAGCCAAAGTACTTCAAATTTTCAAAATACATTCAGTTCCGCCTACTATACTGGTTAGGAAAATTGGAATTATTTCTGTGTCTGAGATTTTACGTAAAGATCTTCAGAGGTTTTCTGAAGAACCTGTAAATGTCCGCTTTGTTTTTTGTAGTTACGATCATAAGATTGGATATCTCTCATACCTGACTCTTCAAGTTCTAAGCAGGTTGGTTCAGAAATGAAGGTGCTAGAAGATTGTTATTTTACTCTACTTGACCAAATGCCCGCATGCAAGTACATTCACTGGGATTTGTATTGAATTTAAAACGCCTTAACACAACATGGAGTACTGGTCGTACCGTTCGTTTTATTCAAAGTAGTGCCAAAGGCGGTGGTGAAATTATTCGTGTAGTTTGTTGTTACAATTCTATCATTATTGCCAATGCTGTGAAAATATTATAGATATCAAGTACAAAAAATTATGTTTTAGTCTAATCGATGGATCTCATCTCTAGTTTTAGCTAGAGAGCTGAAACTTTCAGAAACCAAAGATCTTAATTAGATATATATGCGATAAAAATTTCAGCTTTATCCGGAAAAAAATTGCCATTAATAACTCATCCTCAGTTATTATGACACATGTTTTATGTCGATTTCATCAGCTTTTGATATGTCAATAATGAATAAGGAATTGCCGAACTTTTCGGCTTCTTGATTCGGCGCTGATTCCGAATATCACCTTTTTTTCTTCACGGTGAAAAACGCCTAATACGAAAAGGATGCTGAAAAAAGTCCTTTGAGAAAACTAAGTCGAGTTTTTGCCCTTTCCATTTCGAAGCTTTGTAACTCTGTTTTTCGGATTCATCGTGTCAAATTGCCTATGAAAATATGCTTTTGAAGTTTCCACATATTACGGAGCCGATGTCAAAAAGTTATTGGAAAAAGGATCCTCACCGGGATCTCCTTTTATTCTTGAAAGATGAAATCTTGACTTTGACGGCATTCGATCTGCCACATCACGGAGTAAAAATCCACTTTTTCGGAATTCGTTTTCTTTCTTGAGATATCGAATTTCCATTAAAACATTGCTGTTTTCACCTAAAATTAGACAGGTCATTTTGCAATAATTTTTTCATTTCTTCATATATTTTTTAAAAGAATATTGTTGGATAGCCGGTAAAATTCTCTACAAACTGATCTGGTCAGAATACCTAGACAATCATTAAAGATATGGAAAAGAAGTGTTTGCGTATTATAATATGTGAACAAACTCCTTTGCTTTTAATTTTTCAGCAAAAGCTGGAACAAATCTGAATACTGTTTTGGATAGCTCGAAGATTCTTCTATCAGATGAGGAGTTTATGCATATTGCCATATTATGAAATTTCTGGAAAACCTGACCAGTAGAAAACCAAGTCTTTGATTTTAGGCCACAAAATTTTGCAAGCTACATAACCTGATAGAGTAAATCATTCAGAGCAAAACACGATATCTCTGGGCTGTCTATAACGCCTTTTCACCGCAATATTTTATTAATTGTCACTCTTTTGTAGCCCGGAGGTGCAGAATCTACCCGTTTGTACCGACGGCTATGGAAAAAACATTTTCTGGGAAATTTTTTAAGATTTTGGAAAAACGAAGAATTCTGTTAGTCTTTAACGACTATCTTCTATTTTATGTTCTTTCAAAAATTAATTGGAGAATATTTAGAAACAAAAGACCCTATTCTTCAACATCGGCCAGCATTTGGTATCACATTTGATAAGGTAACTTTATTAAGAATTCGAAGCGTCACCACCAATAGAGTTTTAGGTCTGGAGTCGCTTTAACTACTCGTCTGTACTCAGTTTTTGATGCTGAATCTGAAAAACGAACGAAATAGAAAATTTTGCACATTTTGAAAAATATGTGTTTTTTTAAGAAAACTACACACACCTTCGGAGTATTTCGTATTTTTCGACCGAAAGAAAGCATTTGTTAAGGCTAAAAAGTAGATTTTCGTGATCAACAGCTCACGCTCTATCAAATGATATAAAAAAGACGCGAAAAAGCTTTTTACTTGAAGTTCGAATTGCCTACACCTTAAATAGGAGTTAAATAGTTGCTGTGGTATTCGAATGTTGCTCCTTCTGAGTTTCTTCAAAACGTCAAGAAATCGTTCGTCACTAAAGCAGGCGGTGGAATAGAGAGATCCATGCTTTCGAACCTGATCTAGATATTTGCGCGCATGGAGCGCCATGGCATGACGCTCAGAATCGATCTGAGAATACTGTGATGGGCAGAGAAAGCGTCAGATACTTGAAAAACGAAATTAGGTTCGTACATTAAAGCTCAAGAGAAAACAGGTAATAAAGACTTTCTTCAAGTTACAAACATAAGAAAGCTTTCCGTTTTGCAGAGAAAACCAGAACACTAATAGAAGCTCTGCTTTACAGCGCTATATAATGCTCCTTGGAAATGTTTAAGTTCATCCACGGTACATATACCATATTTAAAAAATCTACTAGGCTAAAATTGAGTATCAGAAATGCATCATTCTGTATTTTGTAAACGCTACAAATAGCTAAAGTCCAATCGAGCTCAACCTTCAGCCAAATATTCCTCTATCTGTGCTCTACCTTTGACCATACCGCCAATTAGCGCCGCTGAATTTTGCACATCATCTCCGATTAAAAATTATCTCTAAATTATCGTTTGACTTTGAGCAGTATTCAGATGACTTGACAAAAGCCTGTTGACCAGTTTATCGCAGGCTATTTGGAATATCATTGGTCCACAGATCTCAAAGCAATGGCGTCCGATTGAAATTCAAAATTTATTGAGTGTCTTATCCTTTATTGCAACAGTTAATTTTACAATCAACTTTTATATTCACTGCCTGACAAGTCGACTGTTTCGCACGGAATTCGTCAAAATGTATACTAAGTGTGTCAAGCACATCGCGCATCACCATCGTCCGTCAGTCCAGCAATTGAAATGATCGTAGCACAAAGACAGAAGCAGGAAGAACGAGAATAATGTGAACAGTTTGAGAGAATTATATATAAATAGTTTTTCTGTGTGTATTCATTGTGCATTCTGCACGATTGACTGCAGTATTTTATCATCCGATAAAATATGATCCAGAATTTGTTGTTCAGTGTCCTTCATGCTTAATGTTTGACCAGTATTGTATCTCCGATTAAAAATTGTCTCTAAATTATCGTTTGACTTTGAGCAGTATTCAGATGAAGAAAAGTACTTACAAAGATTAGGCTACAGGTAGAGTAAACAAGTCACTCTTTCAAATCGTTCAAGAATTCTATCTAATTCTCTTTCAACGTAAACGTGGTGACATTAATTAAAACTTTTACGTTGAATCAAGTTAATTAGTGTCACAACGTAGCTTAGAAAAAAGTAGAGAAGGTTCTACTACTGCTTCTTCTGAAGAACACCGCAGACTTACGCTACGCATTTGAAAGACTTAGCTCAAGTTATCGAAAGCAGGACAGCGCTCATCAGTCTAAACTGAACTTTTTTAGTGTAAATCTACAAACTTTGTGAGCGCTTTTCTCCGTCTGAATATGGCTTAAAGTCAAACGATAACTTAAAGACAATCTTTAATCGCAGATGATGTGCAAAATACAGACTTAAATTTGATTTGAAAATATTGATCTATTCAGAAACGGCTTAGAGATACACTAGATGCTAAGTTACTTTGAGCAGAAAGGCCAGGATTCTATTTCTTTTCGTTGTTTTTCATTTTGTGCATTTGCAATTGTGATCAAAAGCGATAGATGATATGTTTATTTTGTATTGCATTTGTCTATGTGTTTTGCTCGTAAAAAACAGATTGGTAATTTTTAGTTAAAATTATTGTAGTACAAAGAACTTGATTGAAATAAAATACATGATAATAATAGTGACAGCTGTGAAAAGAACAATCTAAGTACAGTGACAGTTAGACTCATATGTTAGAGAAGGCTTCATATAGGAAAAAATAATATTCGATAATATATGGATAGAAAATATTTATTCAGAATGTTATAATGGATAATTAC